GGAACCCAATCTGGGTTCCTCACGACGAGGAACCCAGAGTCGGTTCCTCCCGAGGAACCCAGAGCTCCTGTTCAAATTTTTTGGTGGGGGGACGCAGAAGTCCTGTGCAGTGGGTCCCACTGCACACGTGGCGTCCACATGTGCAGAAAAGAAGCCACGTCATCAAAAAGCAAATCCACATCTGAATTTAACGAATAAGGAAACGCCGCATGTGCCACGTCAATTTTTGGGTGCCACGTAGTGCATTTTTTAACGGTGCCGTGACGGTCCGTTAAAATGTTGGGTTTTTTACAGGTTTTGAAAGGTGGAAGGTGTGAATAGGAAAAAAAAATTCTGGAAGGTGTTGACCGCGAAAAAGAAATAAATGGAGGGTGCAAATAGGGGCTTTGGCCTTTATGAAAAATCCAACATTTTCAAACTTTCTTAAATGACTGAATCCAATCAATATTGGAGACTCGAGGTTCCAGGGCCCTTTTTCTTCTGTCTCCATTCTCAGACAAAATGGTAAGGATTTTCGATTGTTTGTTTGGTTTTTGGTTTCTGTACGTATTTTGCAATGAATTTGTGAAATTGAAGAATTGGGTATTCTTGCTTGCCCATAAACTTGTAACTGCACCAAACCAGATGTTCTTCTTCACTTCATATTAACACTCCGGATTAACCTGCAAAGCCCCGAGATGGATCTCGGGGTAGACACTCCGATGCTTAAGTCAGCAATAATCGGGGCTACCAATAGAGCGAAGATTATAAGAGCTTATGGTTGGTTTCAATCACCTTTTTGACGTGACCCTTGAGGGGTATTTATATGTTCCAATGAAGAACCCACGCAGCATGCTAAGCAAGATATTCGGGATCTGGTGTGTATCTCCAAGCAGTTATTTTGGGATCGGGAAATTAAGCCGAGCAAGATATTCAGGATTTGATATGTATCTTCAGGCAGTTATTTCGGGATCGGGAAATTAAGCCGAGCAAGATATTCGGGATATGTTGTGAGGATGTCCATCATAACTGCTATACAGCCGTCCGAGCAGGGAGCTCTGGATTTACTCTTCATTCCGATTGTAAAGGAATTACTGTCGTACGTCCGAGGTTGGGCACTTCGGACCTGCCCTTACAAAACTCCAATTAAGCGTAGAATGA